AATATGTATGACGAAGACGACGCTTTCATGGACGAGTATCAGACTACGAGGTTCGAACCNCTCTTTTTCCATGCAGGATCACTATCACCGACCACCGCCCCAGTTCTCAAATAACCAACATTATGGCCACCATCCACGACAGTATGCAACATCTGACTTTGGTGGAAGAGGCCGTGGTCTCCGCTCCCAATTTCGAGGACATGCTCGTCCGTATGACTCTAATGGCTACTATGGCCGAGGAAACGAAGGGTTCACTGGGCATGGCCCTCGCAGGGTTGGACGCGGGCATTCGGAGAATGGCGATGAAGAGCGATTCACAGATGGTGGCGTGTTACGTCGACGACACCCTAGTGAGGGCCGTGGATTCTGAAGGGTCCTCAACAGAGGAGGAGGAGTTTTGAGTGACTGGTGTGAGGTGTGTGTGTTCATTGGACTTCTACTTGGGATGTTCTATTACTTACTGGCAATAATATATCTGCAGACTTCTTAGTGGATGTTTCCGGGGTGCAGTGGGGTCAGTGGGGGCCTCAGGATTGCTCTGTCTAGTAGATCTAGATAGAGTTTTAGAATACTGATTACTCTCCTTGGCTGGTCACTGGAGGCACTTTTTAGTTAGTATGATGTCTTGTAGTTCCATGGTATGGTATAACTTGGCAATACCATGGTATGGTATAATGTGGTATGGTATAACTTGGCCATACCATGGTATGGTATAACTTGGCCATACCATGGGTACGGTATGACTTGGCCATACCATGGTACCGTATAACTTGGCCATACCATGGTACTGTATAACTTGGCCATACCATGGTATGGTATAATGGTATGACTTGGCCATACCATGGTATGGTCTAACTTGGCAATACCATGGTACGGTATAACTTGGCCATACCATGGTATGGTATAACTTGGCAATACCATGGTACGGTATAACTTGGCCATACCATGGTATGGTATAACTTGGCAATACCATGGTATGGTATAACTTGGCAATACCATGGTACGGTATAACTTGGCAATACCATGGTACGGTATAACTTGGCAATACCATGGTATGGTATAACTGGTATGGTATTGCCAAGTTATACCATACCAGTTATACCATACCATGGTATGACTATGGGATGGCCCTTTACCTTGGGCTTGGTGTGCTGTAGATACCATACTTACTGTTGCCATGTTTTAAGTTCATTGTTTTTGGTTTTGCTTATATAGAGTGCAATTTTACATTCTTGCAATCTTCAGATAGATAGGAGGTAGGTATAATCATATAAATTCGAAAGTATTGATTTTTCATTGAGTTGTTCACATTTAGCAGACGGCCAAGTTATGACTCGGTTGAGCCAGGGTTTTTCTTAGCTGATCAAATATCTCAATCAAACCTCAGTAAACCTTTGTAATCTTTTGGTTAACAAAATTTAGATCTGCTTTCTCATCTACCTGGTGAACCCAAGAATGTAACATCTGAGTGAAGCTTGCACTTTGTATAAACCAAATCCAAAAAGAGGGATATAAAACATGACAACACTATATGGTAACCAATAGGATGCTATGTGGGGTGATTGTTTGATGGGGGGGTATGACAAATGGAATGAAATGTGAGGTGATCTCTTTCCTATAGGATATGACTGTTGGATAACTTTGTTAAAGTAGCTATCAACACATAGTTCTAGTATGTAAGTCTTCAATGCATGAAGTCTGGAGTGGTTGATATACATGCAATAGTTTAGTTTATGTTTCACAATTCAGAGTGAATTCTGACTTGTCTACACGTACTTCTTTGACAGCAACAGCATGGCACTTTTTGAATCCAAATTGCATGCTTTTAAAATGAATTATATGTGGAGTGGTAGTTAAAGTAGTTGATTAGTTGAAGTGCATATTTCAGTCCAGGCTGTTGGATGATAATTTAGCTCAAGTCCATGCTTTTCCCATGGGGGGTATCAGGCATTGTTCAGGACTGATAGTACACAAAATGTAATATTGTTTTATTTGGGCTGAATATTTTTTCAATTGAAAGG